CGTATGAGTATTCGATTAGACTTAAATTCTGTAACGTGTTTTTTTATACTGTGAGATTTTCCAGATCTGTGATAAAAAAGTGATAAAACTTTGTCAGCCTTGTTATTTGTTCGATATTTTTTTAAATACGATTTATAAATCAATAAAAATCTTAATCAAATATCCTTTATTTCAAATATTTTTTACCCCGGGCTGCATCCTGGGTTAATTTTTTTTTTCATGGGGAACCCGCTCCCCGGGGTAAAAAATTATTGCCTCGGGGTGTTACATCATCTAAGTAATTAGTTGTCTGCTATTGGCCTAACTACTCAAGCCATTTGTGCATCTTTGAAATAATATTTTGACATTTTTTTTTTACTTTAGACATTTTAACGTACTACCTTTTCCTAAACATGAGCAAAAGACTAAGTGAAGTTGTAAGGAAAACTCGAAAAGTTATTTCTTTAGAAGAAAAAATAGAAATCATAAGAAAAAGTGAAGATGGTGTCTTGAAATCAAAGATAGGCCTAGAGCACAAACTAGGTGATTCAACAGTAAGAGCAATTTTAGGTAAAGCTGATGAATACAAAATGAAAGATAAAGCTGCTTCAAACTTATCATGTGTGCATACCACTCGAAATCAAAATGTGATCATGATTGAATTAGAAAGATTGCTAACTATCTGGATAGAGGACTGTAACCAGAAAAGAATTCCTTTAAGCACTGATCTCATAAAAGAAAAAGCATTAAGTCTCTTTTCAATCTTAAAAGAAGAAAAGTTCAAAGACGAGACAAAGGAGTTCCATGCTAGTGCTGGATGGTTTGAGAAGTTCAAGAAAAGAACAAGCCTGCAGAATGTAAGAATTACAGGGGAAGCAGATTGTGCAGATAAGGAAGCTGCTGATGAATATCCTGAAGTTCTGAAGAAAATTGTGGAAGAATGAGGGTATTCGGATGAACAGATTTTTAACGTCGACGAGATGGGGTTATTTTGGAAAAGGATGTCTTCCAAAATTTTTCTGGCCAAATCTGAGAGTTCCCAGTCAGGATATAAAGCTGCAAAGGATAGACTAACCCTTTTATTTGGCGGTAATGCTAAAGGAAATTTGAAATTAAAGCCTATGTTGGTTTATCGAGCTCAGAATCCAAGAGCTCTTAAAGGACAATTACCAATAATATGGAAATCTAATAAAAAAGCATGGGTAACTAAAGCTTTGTTTGAAGAATGGTTCGTCAAGTATTTTTGTCCAACGGTTGAAGACTTTGGCCGAAGAAGAAATTTAGATTTTAAAGCTTCGCTTATTTTAGATAATGCCCCTGGTCATTCTTTTGGTCTCGATTCAATGTGCAAAAAAATCCAAGTGACATTTTTGCCCGCAAACACTACCTCTTTATTGCAACCAATGGACCAGGGCGTTATCGCGACCTTTAACGCATACTACCCGAGAAAGACTTTCAAGCAAGCGATTCAAGCAACATCTGGAGAGAATTCTATGACACTAGTTCAATTTTGGAAGAAATTCAGTATTAAGGATGCTAATGACAATATCCATCAAGCATGGAATGAAATTTCAGTTAAAATTATGCAAGGTGTTTGGAAGACAGTTCTTCCACACTGTGCACAGGACGTCACAGACTTTTCAAAATACAGAGAAGAGGTCGTTAAAGAGATTACTCGTATTAGAAAAGAACTTGGCTTTGCTGAGATTGACGATGAAAATGTGCAAGAATTGCTAGAAGCTCATTCAGAAGAACTAACCAATAAGGATCTTATAAATTTGGACACTCAGAGAGCATATGAAGACATTGATGAATGTAAAGAAATCTTACCTACCCGCCAGCATAAGAAGATGACGAAGAATGAATTAGAAGAACTTTTCATGGTTATTGAAGAATTTATAAGAAAATGTTTAGAAACAGACCCTGATGAAGACAGAAGCCATCAAATTTGCAGAAAAATTGATGAGGCAATTTCTCAGTACTTATATGAAGAACAGAAGAATACGATGCGACAAGCCACTCTAAATAAGTTTTTCATAAAAATATCATATCAATAAATTTTAATTCATTGCATTTTTTTCGTATT